GTCCCGCTTATACACATAGTGCCCAGGGTATAACTGATTTATGCCCTGCGATCTTGATATAGTGACCAGGGTATAATTTTTTTAACACATATATATGATAATCATTATATCTCATCTATTTTCTAAAATTGTTAAAGTGATACGTAACGATAATAGTAATCATGTAACACTCATTGTCAAGACTCGTGATACTTGCATACGGTATCGGCCAGTGTTGGCATTAAATGCCGACACTGAGTATCGGTATGCGGTATGTAAATTGATTTCCTTAAATAATCCAGACCTAAGAAATGACGTCAAACTGCGAAGAGATTAAGGCATATAAACATATAATTGTATCTATTACTGTAATAATAATGGCCTAAATACTGAAATAACCTGATTATGGGCTGAAGAATCCTTGTTATGCATTATGTACCATCATACAATTAACATCTAATACATATGAGGATTGTAAAAGAAAACTTGGTCCGATCTGTGGCTTATCGATTTGATATGGTAATTTAATTAACAGTTAAATTTAATTACAGCTATGTACATAATGAAAGTTTACAGTTAACGTTAACGTTAAGCATTCATACGTACGTACGTACGTACACGTACGTATGAATAACAGATAATACGAGCAACGATCGTTCTACATTTCACGTGACAAAATTCAACATTGATAAATTAATATTATTTGAGTACGTATAACATTTCGGACTTCACTAATATCCGACTATAACTGATAATAAAGTAAAGCAGATGCTTAAATTTTCATAGCTATAAATAGACGGAGATTATGCATCACGTACCGGGTGTACAACATTTCCATTTGTACTACGTTTTACAATTTTTTTTTAAGAATAATAGTTAATGCAGCGATGGACCCTTTGAGTGTTGAAAAACTTTTATATTTATTCTTATGCAATGTCATCTACGGGTACTGATTTCGAACCTGTTAAAAAAGTTATTTCTGAAAGTATAAACGTGCCTGACATAACGGACATAACGGACATAACGGAGGTTAAACAAACTGTTGAAAGCATGACCTCAAAAGTTGGCGATGTTGACTTTTCAGGTATTTCATTATCGTATTTTATGAAATACAATATTTAAAGTTTTTAAATTTTATACACTGTTTCGTGATAGTTTCATCTTTATATTAATGATTTTTTTTTTAAAAAAAATGATTTCTTTAAGTAGAAATAATCTAACAATAATAATAATAATCAATTTTATCTAGAAATGACAATCCATCAAGCATCTCGACAAGGATTTCTACATATTGTAAAAAATATAATCGAAAGTGGATATGCTAAAGCAACAGATAGAGACACTGAAAACGTGACTCCGTTACATTTTGCTGTAATTAATAATCATGTAACCGTTGCAAAATATTTGATTGATAATGGTGCTGAAATAGATGCTTTTGGTGGCGATTTGATTGCTACTCCGTTACATTGGGCATCAAGGTGTGTGTGTGTGAATTCATTTTTTGTTTATATCCGTCTTATAGGTCTTATAGGTCTTATATCCTATATCCATAAATTGATTTACTTTATTATCATTTAGAAATGGTCATCTGCCTTCTGTAACCCTTTTAATTAATCATGGTGCTAATCCAAGTCTCCGTGATTCTCAAGGCTTTGATTGTTTACACCTTGCCGTACATTCTTCTAATCCTATGTTAGTGTTATACTTTATATGTCTGGATATGGCCATTGATACTCAAGACTCTTCACAGCATACTCCCTTGATGTGGGCCGCTTATCAATGTGATTCATTAATTGTAGATATACTTATTCGACTTGGTGCTTCTCTATCCAAAGTTAATAATACGCAGCTTACTCCTCTACATTTTGCTGCTATGAAATCTGATAAAATGTGTTTGAGAAAGTTAATAGAGGCTGGTGCAAATATTAATGCAAAGGATGAGAATGGTAAAACGCCATTTGATATTGTTAAAGAAGTAAAGGCTATTGATAAATGGAAAAAGGCAATGAAGGAAACTGGTTTGGAAAATAATGGTAAAAGGGGTCCATTCTTATTTGAAAAGGTATTATATTATATTTTTTTAACTTTTTATATTTTTAACTTTTCACTTTATAATTTCTTATCATTCAATTAATTTATATTTTATTAAACAGAAAATTACCCTCACTGTATTATATGTGATTCCGTTTTTTTTACTTTTTATTGCTCTCCAAACCTTGGCTCATTATCCTTGGTTTATTGGATTACCTCTGGCTATTTTGGAATACATAATATGTCACATTATAATTACAAAAGTTATTATAAGAGCACAGTTAACTGTCACATTTATGAGAACTCCTTATCTGACAAGTATATTTCAAGCAAGTGCTTTTTGGGTTGGCGCCACATGGATTTATAAACTTTTCTTTGGTATTTTTTTTAAATGATATTACAATGCCTCTTTGATTTTTTTTATCTATACTACCATTCTCATTTTCATTCTCATTTTTTTATTCTCATTTTCGTTCTCATTATAAAATTTTCAAATTACATTCAAAATTAGCAACCTCATTTTTATATTCGGCAAATTTGATTTTTTTCGCAACATATATCGTATCAATGTATTCATTTTACGTTACAGTACTGGCCGATCCAGGATTTATTCCAAAGTCAAGTTCACGTGCTGAACAGAAACGGGTATTTTATTTGAATTCTTTAAATATTATTAATTAATTTACATTCCTTATCTAATTTTTAATTTATTGCTAGCTCAGCTGGTAATAGACCTTGCAAATAAAGGAATGCTGGATGCCAGACATTTATGTACAACGTGCTTGGTAAAATCTTAATTTATTCTTATTTCATCAAAATTATATTATACTTAATTTTTCTTTTTTCCTTCAATTTGGTTTTAGATCAGAAAACCTCTTAGGTCTAAACACTGCAAAGTATGTGATAGATGCGTAGCCCGTTTTGATCAGTATGTATTATTATTTTGTTAATTTAAATTAAATAATTCGTTAATTATTCGTTAATTATTCGTTAACTATATATTTACTAATTATCTCATTTCTTTTTACACTATTAGTCATTGTCCATGGATATACAATTGCATTGGAGTAAAAAGTCACCGCATTTTTATGATGTTTCTACCATTGATGATTACGTGTATTTTAACTTTTGAATATATCAGCTATCAATGTATAATTATTTATAATTCTATACCTTTTATTTGGCAACAATATATCTTAATCTATTCTCTTTCTCTTTAATCTTTAATAGATTTTGTATTATCCGCTCCTCCATACGTGCCTATTGAATCTGAACCCTGTTTGTTGAGTGACGCCTACTGTGGATACTTCCAATATGATGGTTGGACTGCTTCTTTATGTGTCTGGAGTGCATTACAACTTCCTTGGTTGATAACATTATTATGTTTTCAAACTTACCAAATTTCTTCGGCAAAAACTACAAATGAAATAATGAATTTTCATCGTTATTCTTATTTTACTTCCAAATCTCCTAATCCATCAAGTAATAATGATGGTGATAATGTTAATGAAATTATTAAAAAAGTAGATACCGCTCATCAACAGGAATGTGGTGGAAAATGTAAAACTGCTCACAAACATAATCATTTTTCAAAAATTTCTAAGGTATTTGAAGGTCATGATGATATCGTTAACCCTTTTGATTTTGGTTGTTGGTATAATTGTATAAATTTTTGGTCGGAAGGGAAAAGTGGAATGTTACAAAATGTCGATTGGTATGAAATTTTTGATACTTCTTTTATTGATTCGCGTGATGATATGAAATCAAATGGTTATACTGTTTTAAAAAGAGATGAGGAAATCGTATAAAATATTATTATATTGTTATTTATATTTTGATATTTCGATATTTTGATATTTTGGTTGGGGTAATAAATTATAAATATTGAGTTAGGTTTATTATAAAAAAAAAAATCAAACAAACATTTGATTGTATTCATATTTTTGGAATGTTTAATTTAATATGTAGTTATTATTCGAAATAATAAAATTGTTACATTTATTATTACATTTATTATTACTTTTATTTATTAAACGTTTTTTCAATTGTGATTTTAAAATGTATAAAATCCAAATTATCTTGATATGTATAAGTCGATATAGCATTACAAATAGTGAAGACTAATTAACATCTCGATATAGTGGATTTACTCGATAAGGAACGGATCATTTCACTATAATAAACTGTACGTGCTGCGTATGATACATGTGATAACCCAATTTAGATAAAATAAAACTCTACTACTACGTATATTCTTATTGTATTACCGCTTCACTGCTTTCATCTAAATGGCTGCGAAATTTTTTGAAAAACTTTCAGATAATTACTTAGAACTTCTTGAAGACAAAGAAGATTTTAATGTAATTATTAAAATCGGTGAACCTTCAAACGCTAAAATATTTCAAGC